GCTTTACGATTTGGCCGGCGAGTACGTCACCATAGCAGACATCAGCAACAATAACAACAACAACAAGCACATCGGACGACGTAACACGGGAATGGGCATATACTATTCCAATGACATAGTTTCCAAGAGGGTTGAACCGTCGCCGTCTGCCGTTTCCGAGTACGTTTCCCTGAACGAGCTGCCTCAGCACTTGCGTCGGCACGCGGTCTCGTCGAGATCCTCTCCTCCAGCGGAGAGCGAGTCCTGCGCACAACAACAGCTGCCCGTCGAGCCGGCAGCTGCGACGTCCCAGCCACCACCACTACCCCTCGGCCGCAGGACGCAGGGGGTGGGAGATGGTGTGCCCATGTACGCGGAAATCGGCGAACTGAGCGAAGAGAAGCCGCTCGCATCGGTGGCGAATCGTCGACTGCGCCCGAACGCCGAGGGGAAATTGGTCTACGACTCCGACAGTCTGAAGCGGCGCAAGGGTGCACACACCACCTTCGCACCTGGGCCGTACGTAAAGGAAACCGAAAGTGCGCTCCACAGTGCTGAAAGTGCAGCGGCGGCAGCAGCATCGTCCCAGGATTCAGGATCATCAGGAGCCATCGGCAGCACCAAGAGCGCCAAGCTCCTCCTGCTCACCAGCGGCGGACTAATCTCTGGCAATCGCAAGGTGGCCAACGTTAGGCCCATTGTGGCCAAATCCCCGCTCAGCAGGAACGTCAGCGAAATGGCCACCTACCAGGCAACCAGCTATCAGGACCAGAAACAACTCCTGGCCAACCGTACGAATCCCTTCTACGAGACCATTGCCGCTCCCGTGGCCAATCTGATGATGCCATCGCCGTCGGGCAAGTCCAATTCCTCGACGGGCTCCACAGCCACCAGTTCCTCCTCATCGGCATCGGGTCACTCCGGTGAAGAAGGTAAGCCAGAGCGGCTCCCGTCAGCCAGCAGCCGCCCCTCCTCTTGCTTACCCACAACTAAATCTCAATCCGAATCCGAATCCGTATCCTTATCTGCATCCGGTTTCCTTGTAAATAACACTGCCACCACTGAAACGTCTGCCAAGAGCACCCTTAATCACCACATAGCCACCAAGTCAGCGGGCAGCATATCAAGTGTAAGGGAGCATCAGCCCCAGCATCCAAATCAGAACCCCAAAGATGGCGAGTCGAAAGTGAGGGTTGTTGAAATGGAAACTACCACCCTGGGGGATGCGTTTAAAATGGGGGAGCACGGACCACCCCTTCCGCCGAGGGCGAAAGTTAACGACAAACACCCCACCAAGCCCCTATCGATTGACCCAATTGCGCTGCACTTTTCCGTCGCTGGCAATCCCGTCCAGCCGCGCACCGCCCTCAAGCGGAACAACAGCTACCGGCTGGCCAACGATGAGCTCAAACTGGAGATGAACAAGGAGAATCTCTCCGTGTCCTTCGGCTCCGAGAGAGCACCTAGTTCGGGTGCAATGCCCCTAAGTTCCGTGCAGCAGCAGCACGCAACAAGTTCCCTTAGGCTGCGCAACCTGAGCAACCACCTGCCCACCGCCAGCCACTCACCTGGCGGCGAGCGGCGGATAGCCAAGTCCTTTGAGCGCCTGGTGGACGAGTTCTCGCTGTCGCTAACCACGGGTAACGATTCCTCCTATCTGAAGAACAAGTCGCTCGAGAACTTCGATGACTCACCCGCCCTGTTGGCCGTAGCTTCGCCTGAACAAAGGCCAGACATAAACGCCTCAAACTCCTCAGATTCCGAATCAGAGGAGGACGAGGAGGAGTTGGCCCCGCCTCTGTCCCAGTCCCTGCCGGCCCAAAAGTACCACAAGTCCTTTGTGGACAGTGTGCTGCTGCGCCCGTTTAAAATCATCCTGCCCAGCGACGAGAACGGCAACCGTCGCCAGCGCATTTTACAGAAATTCGAGGTTACAGAGATATGGTAGTTAGCCCGTCCTGCTCGACACCACCTACACAAAACCCTAATTGCCGAGATTGGCACGGCTCAAAGGAGCGCCGGACTCTTGAGCCACCCATGTAGTGTGTAGTGTGTGGGCCTCATTAAAGTTGCATGCACTTGGCCAGACCTGTGCGTGTTCAATGGGCCAAGATGGGGGTCTGGTCTGTACGGGGTTCTGTTCTGGGGTTCAATGTTCACACTTGATATGCTCCAAGCTGTGCTCCTCTTTTAAAGATAATTTCCCTGAAATCCACACATGCCTCTTACACTTACCTATAAACCAGCTGGCTTTCGAGACTTAATAACCTGCGCTGTTTATACAGTTTGCACTCCAAAGCCTTTATACAGAACTGAAATAGATACATATATACTAAACGTATTCATACTCACAAAGTATTTTTAAATCCAAGCGTGTGTATAAACAAAGTATTACTGCCTTTCGTTTTTAATTTTTTTCCGCCGAATTATGCTCGATTAATTAGTTATGTGTGTTCTTAACATTAGAATTACTGAATAATACATGTTAATTGTTTACTCATAAGTATGTGTGTAACTAATTATAATTAACATAAACCAACACATGATTATTGTACATTTTGTAAAGTTTTTTGCACCGTTCACGTCTTGTACATCCACATAATACTCAACTACAACGTTTAATACATAAGTTTAAGTTCCACGACTATGATGCTAATTTTTCGAGTTTTTAATTTCGCATTTCCTACTCATTTTCCAAATTATACGGACCGTGAGTCGTGCAAAAGACTTCTATTGCATTTTCCTAACAAAATTGCTTGTGTGTTTGTATATGTTATAGAGTAGTAGTAGTTTTTTGCACACCCCGTCCGACTAACGAATGATCAGTAATAGTTGCACGAGTAGCTGAAAGATTAGCACATGGCCTAAACAAGTTAAGTTCTTGGCTAAGTTCAACCACATTCCATAAACGAAATCCAATTTACCACCGATCGTAAGTAATGTTTAAAAACGAGAATAAAATGAAAACAAACGAAAATTCGGCATTGACATTATCATTGGCATTTGGTTCGCGGTAAAGGAACCCCCATACTTACAGTCGAACCATCCCACCCAAAAGCATTTAAGCATCCAACACCACACTCGCAAATTTTCATCCAGCACCCATGCACCAATATTCGGCATTTGTAAATATTCGCTCAGTTCATTGGGATTTGGGATTGGGACTCCGAGGTAATGTCATCCGAAACACCCAGGTACGTATGGAACCGCTTGCCCTGAACGCTTGTTATATTTGATAGCCCTAACGATCTGCACTTGAAACCGCTTACTAATCTCAAAAGGAATATTGGGTACAGAAAAGAGACTAAAGTCTAATCCGCGCAATCATTCTTCTATCCGCAGGGTATCAACGTTTCTCTAATATCTATGAGCAAGTGCAGCCAGCACCGAGCACCCAGCCAGAGGAAGAAGCGAATGCCACGCCCTTCCAGCGCAGTGCACCTATCTACTGGACACTGCAGAATCGCCGCAGCCAGCCAAGGCCACAGCCCCCTGGCAACGTGATCTGCCGGGATGACCTCTACGCCACGCCCATACGACGGGCCGACCGACTGCCACGCCCAGTGGCTGCAGCTGCATCAACGGCAGCGGAAGGCAACAGGAGCAACATATCGCCAATTGTGCCAAGAAATCGCGCAGGAGCATTCATCACCTCCACGCCCACGAGAACCGGAGAAGGAGAACGAGATCCGGAGAACACACAACTTCCCCCCATGAAGCAGCCATCCCGCAACTGGAGCGATGACGCACCCGAACGCCTCAATACCTGTGCCGATCGCATTGGCCAAAGCAAGACCACGCTAATGGACTTTAAGAAGCTGCTGCTGGCCAAGTCCGCCAAGGCGAGTCCGGTTCAGAGGAAGGTGTCCGCCGTGGAGCTTCTGAAGAAGCCAACCCAAGCCACCGCAACGCCGCCCGTTTTAAAACCCAGCGGGGCTGGACAGAAAGTAGCATCAGCTGGAAGCAAGCCAACGATCAACACCAGCCTGAAGCTCCTAGACTTGAGCGGCTCCCCCAAGACTTTCGCCAACCGGAGGATGCTGCGGCAAGGTCAGTTTGGGTCGCCATCTAAGACCTTTGCTCCAAAGATGCGAGGTCCCGTAAACATGGTGGCTGCAGCGGCGGCACCCCCGCGAACTGACATCATGTCCACCACGATTCCGGAGGCGAATAGCGAGGAGGATCAGTCCAACACCAGCGGAGGATCGCGAGCCAGTTCAGAGGCGGGCGAGAACGTGCCCTCCAGCTTCGACTTGAAGCGGAACTTCTTTTTGCAAACCGAGGAGAACAACTTCATGCGAGGGGAGCTGAAGCCCAGCTTTGCCAAGTCAAATGGAGCAGCTGGAGGTGCTAGCACCGAAGGCGGCAATAAGTACGTGGCAGCTCCGGTGGCGAATCCTCCGCTGCCCTCCTTTGAAACGGCGTTGTAGAGTGGGTCTAACCCACTGCTGTAGCCAGCTATAATACATATTCCATAAGAAAAGATACCCATAATCAGATGAGCAATTTCCTTCCGTAGCCAAGCCGAAACTGCATTTATTGACGGACGGAAACGAGTCAGAAGCGATGCTACTTTATGCAACATATACATATATCACTATATATACACAACACCTTTATACAATAAACTGTATTTTTTAAATTGTGCTGCTTGTATAAACGGAGATGTTTTATACACGAATTCGAATCGTCTATACACCTACAATATATTTATTTGTAATTTTACGTTATTTATTGCAATTATGTATTACGCTACACGCATTGCTCTTTGTTTTGTAGTACCCTTGTACGTCTACGAACTGATGAGAATCGCTTATTGAGTAAAAGAAATCATTAGATAACACTTGAAAACTTTTGGCATATCTTATTTGGGGTGTTTATTTGTCTGTACAATTTGAGAAGTTAAGGAACTTAAAGAAGTTCCTAAAGAAATAGTTGTTTGCCTTATCTAGATAACTAGTTTTTTGCCTTTTATTCTCCCTTAAAACAGGAATTTAGTTTGTGAAGAAATCATCCACAGATACTTTAATAAACATGCACAAATGTGAATACAATTTATTCAAATTTCTTTTATATTTCTGGTTAGTGTATATGTAAATCTATGATCATAAAATATTTGGGTATTCAGCGTTTATGATTCAGTTTTAGAATTTCTATTGTATAGCGGTAGACATAAATGTTTAATATATGTGGAATGCCTAAGAATTAACTAATTTAAAAACTAAAATGGTACATTTTGATATCGCCGCTTTTATATTACTAATCGAGAGGATAACCTTTTGGAAAAATAATTTAATTGTATAGTTACCTGTGTAGGTTCCTAAATCCAACTGCGTCCCACGCTGCCGGACCTGCGTTTGGTAGACTTTTCGCCTAAGGAACTGGCTGTCTGATCCTTGCGGCCCATCACAGGCGAGCTGCCCGATCCGATGTTACGGATTAACTGCTTGAGGCTTCGTGCCTGTGCGTCACTGGCCTGGCTCACGCTATTTGCCTCGGAGGCAATGATGCAGAAATCGTCGACTATGTGTCCGGGAGGACTGATGTCGAAGGGCAGAATGTCGCTCAGGCTCTGCTGCTGGCGATATACGCTGCGTCGGCGGGCTCCATTATCGGTCCCGCCGCCGAAAGAACTTCCGCTTGCTCCAGCGGCCACAGTTCCTGATTGCTGCTGGGTCATCTGGTGTAGCTCTTGCTGCAAATTGAGTAGTCGGGTGCGTAGTCCTGCGTTGTCTTCGCTAAGCCGCTGCATGTGGGCAGCTTCTTGCTCCGCACGCACGAATGTGGGCTGCGGCAGGCACTGGTATACGGTTGTCAGGAAGTTACGCAGCGATAAAAGCAACGTATCCTGCCATTGTTTAGTGAAGAATAGGGCAAAGGTTGGCGACTCCTCGGCGTTCTTGCAGAAGGGAAAGTCTGAAGTGATTCAGAGGTTATTGAAATGGTAATGGCCCGTGGAATCATTAAGCGAAATTTACAGAACCAATCCTTCCACTCGCTTTGCTGCTGCAGATCACCTGCCAACTTGTTAAAGAACTCGGACACCTTCTCAGGGCGATTGCTGCTGTAGGCGGTCACCAGGTAGTATTTAAGGAGGCTGTTTTCCAGTTTCTTGACCGCTGAATGTTTAATAATCATAACTAAAGGCGATTGTGTTGGAAAAATGAACTTACCGACGGCGTAGGTGTGCTCCAGCTTGGAAAATATGTTGTTGTCCAGGTGAAACCACAAACTCCTGAGAGCCTGAAGGTCGGACGTTTGCACTGCATTGTTGAATTGCTCCAGAATTCGTTCCGCACGGAAGTGCTGGTCCTTTTCAGTACGCTGCTCCACGTCGAGGGCCTTCAAGGTGCTGGAGAAACCTCGAAAAACTAGGTATTCCCTAAGCAGGTTGTCTAGAAAAGCGACTTGTGCCATTGTTGGACTCTTTATTTAATAACTTATTAGTTTTTGCAAAAGTTTCACAATAAAGTTAGATGCAAGAAGAAGACGATCAGCTGGTGGCACAGAGTTGCCAGACTAGAGACTTCGCTGTCAGGAAAATATCGAGAGGCACAGCTTTTTTGTCCATCTCTAACTGTCCAAGAGCACATTTTGTAAACATTTAAGTTTTTAGCCATGCACAAACGACGAACCGCCAAATCGATTAATAAGCCACCGCCAATCCAGGGAGCAATCAAGAAACCCACGCCAGTGGCGGAACCTCCTCCAATCGACGCGGACCTCGTCACCCAGTTTGAAGTGGAGCTCTGCTGGTGTGTGCAGCAGTTGCAAACCGCCCTTGAAAGCGGAAAACTGGCCCAGAAAGTGGCCGAAGATACCGCCAAGAACATAAAGGTCCTGACCAGCTCAACGGCGCCGCTCATCAGGAAGCGGCAGGTGATGAAGCTAGCCCTGGGCGACTACCGAGCGAAGATGCAGCAGGAGGAGCAGAAAATGCTTCTAGCCTCCCGGCAAATCAAATTCACACCTACGGCTGAAGCATCCAAAAAGTCTAGCTTCGTGAAGAAGTCGGCACTTTTAACATCCGGAAAGGACTTCCGCTTCAACTTTCCCTCTCCCGCCGAAGACACCAATTCAAACGAGCCTCATCCAGCCAACGACTTTAATCCAAGCAGCATTCAACCAGTTGAACCCGGAAGCCCTTTCAAGTTTAACTTCACCATCGCGGAGGATTCGGCCAACGACATTAGTTTCAGCGGTCTGAACTTGAATAAGTAATGAATCACATTAGCCTGAATGATGTTAGTTTTCTAATTCCTACTCTTTATTCAAATAAAAAGGTTTATATGAAGATATTTTCAATATTAAATAATTACGTTAAGGCATAAATGTACGGCGATTCAAAACTATCAACAATTTCAGCCTTTAAGGCTGAATTCGCAATTGTTATATTTAATAATAATTTACACTTGATAATTGATTTAGTTTTACTATTGAAAAGCCATGATCTAAGTTATTATTTTATATTTGCCGCATTTAAAGAAGTATCTTTAAAGGAAGATAAGTGAGGACTTATTTTTAGCGCCCAGTGTGTTTATAGGTTTTATTTATAGATTTGCAGAGAGTATTTCCATGCTATATTTACGTACATTGATGAAGTCAAAAGACCATGGATGAGAAGGGATGTACTCAGTCCGATTCGAAACAGCAAATGGCCAACAACGCCCGCATCGAGCACACGTCCTCCGAGGGACATGAAGGGGACGCCACCTGCGTGGCGTACTTCGATGGACAGCTGTTCTCCGGAGGCGCCGACGGTAAAATACGAGTGGGTATCAACCGGTTTCCTCGATTCCTTCCTCAGCTAATGTTCCCCTGCAGATCTGGTCTCCAGAACTGCAACTATTGGCCTCTGTGAACGCTCACGAGGCGTACATTTACTGCATGGCCATCAATCAGCACGGAAAGGTCTACTCGAGTAGCTGTGATGGTCAGGTCCACTTCATGCTGCCGCCCTATGGAGACGAGTCAGTGCAGGAGCTATTCCGCTGCGACGACGCCATCCAGGCCATGTACTGCGACGGATCCGTGCTTTACACGGGCGATGACAAGGGTGTGGTGACCACTTGGACCAACGATCGCATGCTTTTCAAGTACAGCCTGGTGGAGGAGGTCAAGTCACTGGCCGGCGAGCAGAATCTCATTTACACTGTTCGCGACCTGGACGTGGTGGTGTCCCAGGTGGCGGAGGGCAAGTCCGGAAAGTACAGCAATAAGGCGGTGATTCCAGGTAAGTCGCCGCTCCTTCTTCTTGGGCCATTGGTAGATGGCAAGCGTAGCTATCTGGCCTTTCCCGATCGGTCTGGGATGGGTTTGCAACTTGTGAACAACCTTTCGCAGCAACAGTTCTCTCAAATTTGGCAATTGCCGGTGAGTTTCCTGTATAAGTAGATCCAATATACGTAGTAGATGCAATATACGACTTTGATCTAATTCTAGGACTGTCATGAGTGGATCGTAAACGCCCTTTGCGGGAATGATGCCTACTTGTACTCCGGCGGCTATGACAAAAAAGTTAAGGGATGGACCGATCTGGGAGCAGGAAAGCCAAAAGCCCTGGGCGAGGTTGAAGTGGGTAGCTGTGTAAACAGCATATGCTGTGGAGCCAACAACACGGTATACATAGCAAGCAGCGACGGATATATTCGTAGTGCGAAGTTCGTATAGTTTTGTGGACATCTTTTCGTCTCAGAGAATGGGAAACCCGCTTAACAATTAAACAGAATTTATTTAAAGCTTTATAAACTGGCCTTATACTCTTGGGTGTGCTCCAGGCTGTCGAATTCCACCTGCGCCTCTATCCATCGTGCCACAGTGAGCAGTAACTGCTCGTTGAGGCTGTTGCTCATCAGCTGAAGGCTCAAGGGCAATCCTGCCCGGGACAGACGAATCGGTATAGACACGGCTGGAATTCCAGCCATGTTGGCTGGCTGAGTGCAAAAGTCTTGAACGGCACACTGATCCCTGTTGGTCAGGGAGGCGAAGTCCTTGTACAGCGGAGCCTCCGTAAGAGTTGTCGGTGTGAGTAGGATGTCCACGCGTTCCTCTTGGGCCGAAGAATCAAACACTTTAGCAAAGTCCTCCGCAATAAGGCGGCGCACCCGCAAAGCCTTCTCAAAGTAGTGGTCGTAGTTCTTTTTCAGCAGCAGAAAGTTTCCCGTAAGAATGCGTGTCTTTACCACCTCGTTGAATCCCTCAGCCCTGGAAAGGGCATACAACTGCTCCGTGCTGCGCTCGTTTGATGCCCGATGGCCGTACTCGATTCCATCGTACCTTGCCATGTTGCTGGCCACCTCGCACTGATTAAGAATGGAGTACACGAATATACTTGATGCCGTATTGGGCAAGGAAACCTGTCTGACGGAGGCACCGCTACACTCCAGGAGATCGGCCACCTTAGACCACGTTTCCAGAACTTCGGCGGAAAGACCGTGGCAATGGTACTCCTTTGGTATTCCTATGCGCACAGTGCTCAGGTCAATTTGCCCGACTTCCGGAAGATTCAGCCTGGTGAAAGGCTTCCTGATGGTTGTAGAGTCCAGTTGATCCTGTCCTGCTACTGTATTCAGTACCGCTACGCAATCGCTGACGGAGCGGGCGAAAATGCCGGGCACGTCCATGGAATTGACCAGCGGGATGAGTCCGTGGCGGGAGACGAGGCCGTAAGTGGGTTTTAGGCCCACTACGCCGCAGTATGAGGCCGGGTTTCGGGTGGAGCCGCCCGTGTCCGATCCAATTGCTCTGTAATATAAGAAGTAATTTAAATAATATTTATTTACAGAAAAGTTTATAGAAATTCAAATAAAGACGGTTCGAAGTAAAATACCGAGAAAATACTACATCGAGTGGCTATCCTCACGCCCAGCTGACAAATTGCAGCAAACGTTCACACTGCGCAGCTGTCAGAAATCGAGCGATCAAGGAAAAACTCGATTATTTACGAAATTTGCGAGTAAAATTTCTTCCCCAACGCGATGTCTGCGCTGTTCCGTCTGACCAACCGCGCCGTGGCGCTACAGCGTTCCCTGGTGGCTAACCAGGCGGCAGTGGTACGGGCAATCAACACGTCCCCGAAGAAGGATGAGACCATCACGGCACCCACTTCTCTTACGACGGAGGATTTCGCCAATCCGAGTCCAAAGAACTGGCAGAGCTACGGATTCGACTACAAGGACCAGGCGGAGGATCGCAAGGCCACCAAGTCGACGTTCTTCGTCACGGTGACATTGTGCTTGGTGTGGGGCACCTTCTACTGGGCCTACCTGCCCGACACTCAGTTCCGCGACTGGGCCCAGCGTGAGGGCTTTTTGGAGCTTCGTCGCCGCGAGCAGGCCGGCGTGGATCTGGTCAGCCCCAACTACGTGGACCCCGCCAGCATTACACTGCCCTCGGACGAGGATCTGGGCGACACCGAGATCATCATCTAAACATTTAGTGCCCCTAAACTTAGTCTGTTATGTAATGCGAATGCGAAGTGCGGTCAGTGCGAGTCCGCTCATAATCCGTTAATAAATCTGCAAGTCTCGGCGTGGACACAGCTGCCTTTTAGCCCTCTGGTGATTAATTTTGATCAAATATGCTACTTTTTCTGCCATCGAGTTTGAGGTTAGGTGTTCAAAACATAAACAAGCTATACTCACGCATAACAAAGACCCGCGGCCACGGCGGACGCAGATCCTCCGGAACTGCCGCCCGCGATGCGCCAGCGATCCTTGTCGAAGTCTTCGCTCCAGATGTTCTTAGTCGGTCCGTAAAGGGAGTCCACAGTGCCGGCGCCCATTGCAAACTGATCCATATTGGTCTTGCCCAGGACTACAGCACCGGCTTGTTTAAGTCTGGAGCACACAGTTGCATCGTATGGTGGCACAAAGTCTTGGAGCATCCTGACAGCGAGTACAACAAGGATCAAATTGCTGTGATGCTGGGTTCCTATGGACTCCTACCTTGAAGCACAGGTGGTGTGAACATCTTTGGTGCAAAAGTTATCCTTGATGGCAATGGTGACTCCATCAATATCACTAGTCGGTTGCCCTTGCTTATAGCGCTGCTCCGATTCCTGGGCCTGCTTGGCCGCCTGTTCGGGTGTAAGGCGCACAAAGGCATTCAGGGTCTTCCACCTAAGGGCATCTTGAAGAGCTTCTTCAGTCACCCGGCGAGGAGACAGCTGACCATCCGAATAACTGGCTGTTAGCTGTTAAGTATTCTGGATTAAAAGTTGTTTGGTAGGATGATGAATGAACTCACCTGCTTAATGCTCCACTGTAAGTGACGCCGCATTATATTCAGTTTGAGAGCAGCTTTATTCTATCCCAATTTTCAGAGAGCAATCCGCGGATGAAATCATAACAAATAAATTCAAGTTTCATGAATGGCAAACTTATCTGGTATTTTTGTTTTTTGGGCAAAGAATATCTGGTCACACCAAAGCTCACGGGAGTAACTTGAAGGATTGAAAACAAAAATTAAAAATATTTTAAAAAGTTAATATATAAACCATTAATTTTTTTTAGAATCCACTTCATTAATATTTGGTTATACTTCTTTTTATGGGACCTAAAGTATCTGGTTTTTAATATCAATGTAATTCAACCAAGCTGAAGTTCATTCAGGTGGAACCCCTCAAAATAATGTTTCCTAGCTACGCCCCTGTAACCGGCAGCTGTTATTGATAAAAATCCAGCAACCTCAAATATTGACACTAGGACAAGCTTGAGAGCTATAACGTTATCTAACATCAATCAATTGCCTAGAATCATCTAGAGGGCCTGTAAATACATTGAAAGACGTCGTTAGAACCTGAAACAGTTCTTTAAGCATGGCCAAGTTGGACGAAAAGATTGGCTTCATCGGGGGCGGAAACATGGCCTTCGCCATAGGATCCGGACTGGTGCGCTGTGGGATCGTGAAGGCCAGCCAGTTGCTGGTCTCCGGTCCCCACCTCGAGACTATGCAGTGTTGGCGGGAACTAGGAGCTGAGACCTGCGATGAGACCTCCATGGTTCTGGAGCACACGGACATAATCTTCATCTGCGTAAAGCCACACATACTATCAACGTGTGCCGCTCAGCTTAAGTACAAGCATGTGCCGTCGGCTAAGGATGCCAGCAAGCTGGTGGTGTCGGTTCTAGCGGGAACCAGCCTAAAAACGTTGGAGGAGGCCTTCAGCTTCTTGGGCATTTCGGAGCTGAAGGTGATCCGCACCATGCCCAATACATCCATGCAGGTTGGTGAGGGCTGCACTGTTTACACTGGCAACGCATGGGTTTCGCATCACGACTTGGAAAAGATTCACCTAATGCTCAATGCCCTGGGAGTGGCACAACAGGTGCCCGAGACTATGATCGACGCCGTCACTGGTTTAGCTGGATGTGGTCCGGCATTTGCTTACACTATCATAGAGGCACTGGCCGATGGCGGAGTAAAACAGGGTGTCCCGCGTCAGATGGCCCTACAGTTTGCGGCTCAGACGCTCCTGGGAGCGGCCAAAACGGTGCTACTCACTGGCAAACATCCAGCGGTGCTGCGAGATGATGTCTGCTCTCCCGGTGGCGCCACTATAGTAGGCGTTCATGAACTGGAAAAGGGAAACCTCAGGTGGCTTACTATGAAGCTGTTTATTACACTGTTGCTCTATTACTTCCTTGCTTTCAGGTCTACTTTAATAAACGCCGTGGAGAAGTCCTCACAGCGCTCTGCTGAACTGGGAAAGAAATAAAAATGTAACTAGAGCTGACCCCCCTTGCTCTCTACATACAAAGTTAAACGCTTGATATTGGTATTACAATAATAACTAACATAAAGACCAAGTTTATTCGCGATCCTTCTTACTGACATACTCCACGCACTTGGAGGGATCGGTGGGAAAGTACTCCTGACACTTGGTCATCAGCCGTTTGAGACCCTGGATGTACTTGCGCTGTGTTTCATCGTTCATTACGTGAGCCACATTTTTGGAGAAAATCTTTTCGCGACCCGTACGAGCGTGAATGCCCACCATAGTGACACCGATAGGCCAGGGCGCGTTTCCGATGGCCATTTCTAGGTAGGCATCGCTGGCTGTGATGTAGTTGCGGTTGAGCAGGTGCTTGCAGATGTCTCGCAGACTGTCCAGAATGTCCTCTGGCAGGGTGTGATGTTTCAGCTTGCGAAACAGCGGCTTCACGTACTCCTTGGTTTGCGTGTAGATGACGCGGGTCATCTTCACCTTAGTAGACATCTTCTCGTGCTTGCTGTAGTTGGCAATCTGGTCGTTCCAAAGCTTAAGCAGGAAGGTGAGCAGTGTGATGATCACATCCATGTCGTAGTCCTTGTTGCGGCCCATCTTTTGGGCCATTGTCTGTATGCTCTCCCACGACACGGACTCGTCCAGCTCAGCGAGGTCCGACTTCTTGTCTTCCTTGGTGGTGGGTGTGTTAGCAAACATCTCCTGCAAGTAGGCGGCGTCCACTTGCTCCATGGCCTCCTGGAAATCGTTGCGGAAACCCCGATTGGCCTCTGGCTGCGAAATCTCGCATTGTCGCAATCTGTCAAAGGCCTCGGGCTCCGTTTCGCCAAATATAAAGATGGGTTCGCCCCGTTCCCTAAGCCTCCGAATGACCTCCGTGCGCGGCAATATGTTCTGGCCATCGGCCACAAAACTGTAGGCTCCCTCTGATGTCTGTCCTTGTGCTTCGACGGACTCCTGCTTTTTGTAGCCCACCTTCTGCAGCACTTCCTCTGTGGTCTTGGCATTCAGGTCACCGCGCCTAAAGTACTTCTTCTTTTCGTCCACCAGCTGCTTTTGTTCCAGCAGCTTGCGCTTTCGAGCTATTTCAGCTTTCAGAATATCCATTTGAATGCGATTTGTTTTTAATAACAATGTGGAGTAACCAAAACAAATGCCTTATATTATAGTGAGACCAGGTTGATCAAGTTTATAAACAGCTGCGGGCACTAAAATAGCTATTTTATTGTACTTGTCATTTTATTTGATAATTTTTTTTTTTTAATAAGTATTCAAAAACTGTAATCAATCATAGGATAATGAAACTTGTCTTTTAAAATGTTATTAATATGCATTTTGAAGATATCCCAGCTGAAATACTGTATTTGGGGTAGTTAATTTTCTAGTATTTCCTATTCGGAACTCTTTGGTAGTTTATCACTTTAGCGTGCACCCTTGGTCACACTGGCTCCAAATCAATAAAAAAATAGACAACATTTTAGGAACGAATTCTTTATAAAGGACACAATGCCAAAGAAAATGGGAATCAACTCGAAGGCGGTGGAGGCCCGCGAGCGGAAGGAGGCCACCAAGAAGGCCACGCAGGAGAAGAAGACCAAGGAGGCAGAGGATCGCCTGTGGCGCGATGACGACAAGAATCTGGCCAAGAAACAGCAGCGCAAGGACGAAGAGGAGCGCAAGAGGGCCGAGGCGGCCAAGCGGAAGGCGGAGGCCAAGGCGCTGCTGGACCAGGAAATGTCCTCCATCAACACGCAACGCAAGCAGCCGCTGGCCAAGATTAACCGCCAAATGATTCTCGAGGAGATGGAGAAGAAGCAGCGCGTAATCGAGGCCATCAACGAGGCCAACAAACCGGTGGCCGCGCGAGTGGTGGTCCAAAATCACATCGAGGAGAATCTAAACCGATCCATGGCCGACACGGATGTGGCGTCCAACATTGACGAGGCCCTGGTGGTGCTCAGGTTGGTCCTTCAAAGGTACTTTTGTTTATCAATATTAATTATCTTCCTTTTTATGCCATTATAGTGTAAATGACAGCGAAGAGGACAAGCATCCCGAAAAGCGAATGCGTGCCGCCTATAAGACCTTTGAAGCCAACAATCTGCCCCGCATTAAGGCTGAGAATCCCTCCCTTCGCATGTCCCAGTGGAAGCAACTGCTGATGAAAGAGTGGAACAAGTCCCCGGACAATCCCTTTAACCAGGCGCGCTAAGTGATCCGCCGACACCGCGACGAGTGTGCGTACTCTAGTGACTGTTTGTTTGCTGCCTAGCAGCAAAGAAATAATTAAATCGTTCTGTAGCACCTTTGAACTATACGCAGAATGTAGAATATAAAAAAAATGTGGACGGAATAAATTTATTTATTTATTTAAGCCAAGTGAGTAAACTTTTTGTTTATTGCAAAAGTGGTTAGCTATTATTATAATAATACTACTTGTTGAATACCCAGTTAAATGGATAAGAAATAAAAAAATGGGGTGTTACCAATGTGTATTATAATATTTACAACCAACTTACTTTAAAAACTATTTCATATCTAAGAACTGATTACTTAGTTTAAAATTCTACACATTCTTTCATATTTTATAAACAAATCTTGTAATGATTTCTCTTTAAAAATATAAAATAATGTGAGGTGAAAAAATAGTTCATTATGCAAGAAATCAATAAAATTACAAGAAAATCGGGCAAATAAACATAGGATTGGATAACTAAGATACGAAAGTGATAACGTACAGCTTTTTCCCCACTTGTTGAATGCCGGATTTTTATTTGCCACCGGTTGAAAACTTTGTGGCCCTGAATCCGATTCCGGTTGCGTTTCTGAATGAAGTAATTATATGTATTGCTTTGATTGCTGTTGTCGTTCCAGCGTTTTGTCCATCACTTTTTCAGTGGTGCAAAATACAGAGAATAATAAGTGCTTCCGCTTTCACTGTTTGCTGCTTGGAAGTTTGGTGGCGTTTTTTGGACCAGAGCCGCCAAAATATTTTGATGGTCCGTCGAACAAATGCACGTAACATCAGCCAGTTAAGTATGAGCTTAAAGTCATTAGGCACCTCTTTTTGCGCATTAAATGCGATTTTATATAAGATATTAGGGCTTAATTGTCCGATTTTCCAAATAAAAAGTTTCTGCCTTAATAGCTGTGGCTGGTCGTTCAGCTTTCGTTTACAAACACGAATTGTTGTCCAGGGCCAAACCATTCAAGTGTCAGTACACAATTATGTTCTGGGAAGAAACTTTCTTGATCAATTAAGACATTAGGCTCCGAAATGTTTTAATCTAACTTTCTTATCACAAGAACCGAAACAATTTCGCTCTTATAGGGGCCCATCGGAAGCGGCTCGTAAAATCTTTGATTGCAATTAACAATTAAAATGTTCCACTGCAGTAGATTTGATTTTTGAATTTCCACCACCTGTTACATGTTAACAGTTGCTCTGTTAACCGTTTGTAACCGCTGCCAGCCGTCTTACCTGTTGGTAGTGCTTTCTTTTTAATAAAAATTTCTTTTGTCGTCGCACAACTTCATTCAGAGTCTGGCCGTTGAAAGCAGCGGTCGCGTCGTGGTCTTCTCTTCAGATTCGTTCGCGGCAGAAATGCAAATACCAGAAATTCAATATTGAACGCGAGCCGAGAGAAAAGAAAAGTGCGAGACGTGTTTGGAAAATCGAATCGAATTTCGTACGGCACCGTCAACGGAAATCGCAACAACGGTAATTGTTGTGTGTGCTCGGTGAGCTCTTCCATTCGCCGCGAGTGTGCCTGTGTGAACTCTATTGGTTTCTAAACAATCAACTAATTGTGGAATACTTAGGGTCACAACAGCCAAGGATATCAGCCAGTTTGCGGGTAAGATTTGTGGGTTAAGCGGTTAGAAATGTTTGTCGGCCATTACGGTTGCAGCTAATTAGCATGCTGCACTCGACAAAGCACAAAAAATAAGCAAACTGCAGCGGGCTGTTGCTGGTCACCAGCTGGAAATCAGGGCAGGCCCAGCAACCCACACGAGTTCGTGCTTTAAGTCTTTTGTTTAGCCTCCGGTTTTTTGTCGCCGGCCCTTGCACATCTGGTGAAAAAACGTTACTAGAGTTTTTGTAAAAGAATAATGATGTACGCAGCTACTTGCGAAAGACGGCTTTTTACTTTAGTCCAGATCTCGCTATGCCATACTTTCCTCTCCATCAAATTCGGTTGACCTACAAATCGTGGTCTACATGCTAATTGACGTTAACTTGTTTCTGAGATTCCGCATTTCGCTGTCCGAAAAATTGTTAGGTTCATTGACCATCGCCTGGCATTATGTAAAGTACAAATAATTGAATTCTGATAATGAATTCACACTTTGCATGAGATTCAGTGGGTTGCGTGTCGGCGGCTGTTATGCACTGGGCGCGAATTATTCAATACACAGACGAGGAGATAACGAGATCAATTGGCAGCCAACCGTTAGCTAATTTATTACTTTCCCAAAAGGTCGGAGCAGCGTTCCCAATAGGGAAGGAGTCCGCCGCCTGATTTATAGCCATCGCCAGCGACCCAAATTGGCTGGCAAGCCAGAATCATTCTATATGCTTAGCTATGCCGGGCCAAACATAAGCGGAGTCAGAAGCAGAAACAGAACTTGGAGCCAACCCATTTACTGGATGGCACGCGCGGGCGCAGCAATTTCTAATGCCGCAGCTATTGCAATTGCATTAAAAACAACCCAGCAACCAGCCAAGTGAGCCAAAAAGCCAAGTGACCATAAAAGCAATGCCAGAGGCAGCAGGCCTAAACCGAATTACACTCGAGATCTGGCCATTTATGGGTGCTTCTTCTCTAGCCGAGGAAGTCACACTTGGCCACCAAAAACGAACTGACAGCCTTGAAAGATTTATTGGCCGACCAGATCGGTGACGTGCGGCGATTCTGCAAAATGGGATACATCCATCGGCGAACATAGTCAATCATCGCTCGCTTATCGGCCTTATCGCTGCTCTCTGAAATTGTTTTTCAAATCGGGCATCCTCGGCACTTTCCTTTTTATTTGAGCCACTGCAGCTCGTGCTTATACTTTTGTTACACCGTGAAAAATATATTAACGGACTCAAAGTATATGTTCAAAAATCGCTCACATCATTCACAAAACTAACAATAATAATTTGTTAGAATTAAATATAAATTTACAAAGATATACTTCGAAGAGTATTGCCAACTATACAGCTGTCACTCCGTGCTGACTAGCTCTTCTGTACGCTTTTTCTTTAAAATCAGCACTTGAGCAGTTTCCATTTGATGGCTCGGACAGTACTTTAATAATAACAATTCCATTGTAAAATTCATACGGTCTGCGCATGTGTGCAGCGCATAATTTCCTCGCTTTGTGCCATAAGTTGTTGTAAATTTCGATTCGCCGTCGCCGACTTCATTAAAACTAATAAAATAGCAACAAATTCAAGTTTTGGAGTGTGTGTGTGTGGCATTTGAAGTGCTCGGCTTGAACTTCACACTCTGGCGCAAGCTAAAAATTTCACCATTTCTCTTTGAAGAACCTGCAAATGCGTATTATTATAATTAAGATTTCAGGCACGTTGTCTAGACTTTCATTGCCATTTCTTAGACGCGGTCAGCGGCTATTTTGGTTTATTGATTTTTAAAACATTCGGCCTTTAGTTATTTATTTTTTATTTGTCTTCTGGCCTGAAGGAATTCCGCCTATTTTGGCCAATGGGGTTATTCATTTCTATATGCTAATCGGCACTTAGCATGTGGGCGTCACTTTCTATCTTCACCAGCGAGAGAGCGGAAATCCGATCACGGATTTCCTTGGCCGGTGATTGCTTTCGGTTTGCGGGAATTCGCTCGAAATTTCGTGTGATTGCAACACTCGAATGATTCACGAGACTTTGGCCAAGGTGTTTGCACTTGCCAACATTTGTTAACGTTAACATCAGGCAACATCAGACCCCAGAGATCATAGCCGGGATTTATGAGAGTGTGTGGTATGGTGGCCAAGAGCGATTACGCACCTTAAAAAGTGAAATTTCTCGAGTTGTTTTGTTTCGCCTTCTCGTTTTTCGCCAGAAAGAAATGCAAATTAAATCCGAATGACTAAGACGGCGGCGATTTTGGGAATGGTAATACCTAAGGCCATCAAAATGGAAACTGCCTAAGGTCGGGAAACTAACTCTCGTTGTACCCTGTTGGAAAACGTGTCTATTTGCTCGACTGTTCAATTACTGCCAGTTACCAACAAGAGATATAGAGATGGAATAGACCTTAGTATTTAAAAAAACCTTTTACATTTGTGCTGCACATTTTTATTTGTATGTTTTTGGGCCTTTAAATACCACTGGGATCTGCGGGGCTAAAGCATAGGGCTTCCAAGCCCACGACCAGGCTTCGTCCACATTCCAGTCGCACTCGCCACCGACTGTTTGTCCAATGATCGCTAACGGGGTCAGCTGTGCTACGTACACGGGGTTTAGCCGCTTCTCTCGCAGACGTTGTTGTTGTATTTTGTGGTACCTCCATTGGGTATTGGGTATCTGGTATCTGCCTGTCTGATTCACCGAAAAAGCAACAGAAACAGAAAAAAAAAATAAAACAAACGTGAGGCAGACCGGCGAGCAGGAAGACTGGCTTCCTCGGTATTTGGGATCAGAAGTTGCCTCATACGGCGGACAGCGGTGCCAAGGGGGCAATCAAAAATTTCACTGATTTTAATTATTTTTATTTTGCGTCCTACCGTTCTGGTTTGGCTGCTTTTGCCGTAGCGTTGCGTTGCGTTGCGGTTAAAGTTGAGGCATAAATTCGGTAAGCCATAAATAATTCTCTCTGCCTGGCGCCGCACCACATCACCGCATCTCATACAGCCGCAAAGGCAACAGCACTCAGAAGCTGAGCGAGAAATTTTTGACTGCCAAAAGTGAAAGTTGCAGCTGCTGCTGGCCGTGCCATTGAAAGAAATAAGAAATGTAGAAAAGCGCCGAGTCCCCTCCAATCCCCGGAATCTGGTTTAAAAATTAGCTCGCCAGAGACAGTTTAAGTTGAGTCTTAGGGTTTTCGGGGCCCCTCTGAGATTGGCCCGGGTGTCTAATGACTCCGCTGGCTCCGCTCTTTGTCAACATTGGCCGCAGGGCTGAATTAAGCATTTTCGCTATTATGTGTTTCGTTTTGTCGTCGTAATTATGTTTACCACGCTTTTGATTGCCACTATTTCGGTGCCATTAAAAACTACACCTAATTGCTGTGGTCCGTAATAGACGTGTGACTTTTTCGGGGTGCCCTCCTCTAAAGAGCGACACTTCGCAGCGGGCGGGAGTAGGGGAAAGTTGTGGCGTTTATGCACTTTATACCAACATGATGGTGGGAACCCACTCCGGAATGAGTTAATCAGAGAGCAGGGCAAATTGTGTAATGGGAAAGGAAAGTGCGGCAGGGAAGTGATTACACTAATCCACAGACTTCCTTGCCAAGGAATTGGGTCGGCAATTGGGTAGGGTTCGTTGAACCCACGAAATGTTTTGGAATGTCGCAACAACTCGTTTCAAAATTCAAATTTAATTAAATTAGCACTTTCTACGCGACAAGAAAGCCATGCCTCACATATTGAATAATAATTACAAACAATTAGCACAGTGACCCAGATGCGTAAATTATGAAAATGAAAATGCAGCACTGTCCGTCCAGAAATGCCTCCTTCTTCGGCGGCACTCATAATGGAAAGTGGCAATCAAGTGCGGCTCAAATGTGCAATGAAACCACGTTCGCATATTCAACGGCTTGTTGACAAGAAGTTTGTGTCTTGAGTCTTTCGCTTGCCTCACTCATTTCATTGGTTTTGGGCGCGTGCTCTTTCAAAAATTCAGCGATGACAGGTTTTCTTTTGCCATTCTAAGTTCTACAGGAGGATGCTCTATTGCTACTGCTCGTGCTGCTTCTCTTTGGGTTGTTCTTTTTTATTAGCATACTGATAAAAGCGAACTTGGCCGTGCTGGCATGCGCGATGTGGACATTAATAAAGTGATGGGAAAAGCAAACAAGTTCCTAAATTGTGACCCAATTACCCAGTTAGCCAGTCTGCGGATACGAGTTCGACTCGCTTTTATGAATTACAGCCCATCGACAAGGCATGCCAAATTGAGGCAAACAAGCTCTGCATTTGCATAACACTTTGACGGAAATCAAAGAACACAAGAAAGCACACAATCGCTGGCCAATTCATTGACAATTGAAATGAAAGTTGGTAGATGCTAGAAAACACGCTTCTGATAAATGGCCGAGCACTTAGATCGCAGTTCACTCGCAATGATTTCGTGCGGTGGCACATGCCGCATGCAATCGAGAGGAAATCTAGACCATAATAATAACCACGGCAATTTGGAGACACCACTGCCAATTGCCGCAATTGCACTTTCATCTGGGATTCTTGCTGCTCAAATCCCAGTGAGCAGTGTGCCCGCGGCTCTTTGAATAAGTTTCTACATGGCTTGATTGACAGTACGCGGCGATTAAGCGCATAATGAGCCTCGCTCCTGGCTGGCTGAATTTGACATTGATGCTCTTATGGCTGCTCTCCGCCGTTGAGTCAGTCATAATTAGCGCTGGGTATTTCGGCTGGGTGACATTATCGATGTATTTTGATTGAATGAAAGTTGAACTGTGTTTTTGAAAGTGAATTTCTTGTCACGGCAGAAGAAGCGGCGAATCGAAAGCACTGGCGGCCCAATCGATTTCGGATCTTTTGGCTGTTTTTTTTTGTGGCTGCAGAATATCGAAGAGCATTAGACAATAGCAACGTCTGTTGGTTAGGCCAGCGGCTGGCATTTGGCTCGTTTGACATAACCACCACAATGAGCGACCACCACAACAAGCCACAACTCCCAGACGGGTTTTCCACTCGCTGCAAAAACTGGCTGCTCACATTTGGTAAAATTTCACTTTTTCCTTTTATTTGCTTGCTGGCCGCAACTACTGCAGCAGCTTTTTATGAAAATCAAAGCAATCCCATCCAGTCACTTGTGGACCAGAGTCAGTGCCAAATTGGGAGTGCACCAGTTGTGTTGTTAATTGTAAGCGACACTGCCAGCCGATGTTTTGATCTGCAATCATAACCCATCCGAAGGCCCCGAACGCATAGTACTGGGCTCTTTGTTTTGTCCAAAACACTTCTCGCAAAGAAGCAGACACGGTCATGTCTCAATTAAGCCAACCTACGGCGCTTGGTCTGCTGACAAATTGCCGAGTGGCCGAGGTCTTGCTGTCGGGACTCAAAGCAGCAACACCAGCAATCTCGGCCGACTGGCTGCAATTTTCGCACCATAAATGTGGAAGCGGTCCGTTGTCAAAGCGTTTGAAGTGACAGCGGCCTTGTGCAGACTCTGAAATCAAGAGTGGTTTCGGCTTGGGCGGAAGGTCTGCGACTCAAACAAAAGTTTTAATTTCGTTTCTCCCATTGCAGCCTATCGAAATGGGAGGCAGTAGCAACTTAAGGTTGCTGGTGGCACTAATGTTGCTGTTTTGCACAGCAGCAACATCGAGCGGAGTGTCCACCACCGAGACCCCGTCGGCCCTGTTGCCCTTGGAAGCCAGGAGTGCTGATGTCTCGGGCGAGGAGGACGTCATTTCTACAAGCTATGTGCTGCCCAATCAGATATTTAACGAGGGAAAGCCATACTATGCGCGCCAGGATCCCGTGTCTGGTCAGCTGGACTTCAGTGCCAAGAAACCGGCCGGAATTCAACCCGAGGCCAATGAGGTGCTCGATCCCAACGAGAAGATTGTGCTGAGTGGTGGCAGTTCGCCCAACATACACGACTACTTGAACCTGCCCGTGAAGTACTCCTCGTCGAAGTTTGTTTATCCGCTGGTATCCAGTTCGTATGCCAACCTAAAGTACCAGGGCAGTAACAAGAACTACATCACCAACAAGAAACCCACTTCCGTGGTGGCGCCAGTTACACCACCACCGCCCAACTATCATAGCTCGAACTTCTTCACCGTGCCAACTACTAAACTAACTGCAGTGACACCCACGGCAGGAGCTTACTATCCTAGTAGTCCCTCCACCAGCACCACCAGCACCACTACGTCAACAACGACAACCACTACAACAACCACAACTCGGGGAACTTTGCCCCCTTCGAGGAAACCAGTTACCACCACTACAACCACGGCAGCCACAAGCCCGGCAGTCAAGTACACCACCACTTCAAGACGCCCCATTCCTTTGCAGACAGTTTCCACGACTCCACAACCACTGCGCACCAGTACCACCCGCAAGAAGTTTGTGCCGACCAAGAAGTACAGTCCCACAGTGCCCAGCACCAGTGTCAGGCCAACGGTTGGTCACGAGAATCAGCGCCCGCTGAAGTCATCGCCCAGACCAACTCCCAGCAGCAGCGATGTGGCCCTCACCACCCACCATGCGACACCACAGGCAGCTATCTTCCCTACGGAGCCGGCCACAACCACCAAGATGTACACCACATCGAGCACAAGTGCGCCAGTGGTGTTCACCGAAGGACCCACGCCCCCACCCGCCTTTAGTCCCATTCCTGGAACTGGTATTCCCAACCTGGATCCAGCCGACGTTTATCACACGCTGGGACAGAAGAACACACAGGCGGAGGAGCAGCAACAGCTGCAACTGGAGAAGCAGCAGCAGATGCAGAAGCAACAGCAAATACAGCAGCAGCAATATCAGGAGCAGCAGCAACAACTTTATGAGCAGCAGCAGTATCAGCTGCAATTGGAGAAGCAGCATCTGGAAAAGCAGAAGCATCCGTACCAGCAGCAACTGGAAAAACAGCAGCAGCAGCAGCAACAACAACAACAACAGCAACAGCAACTTATACAACAACAACAACAACAACAACAACAACAACAGCAGCAGCAACATCAGCCATTACCGCCAACGCTGCAACAGCAAGCACCTCCTCCTAAACCTCCCATGACACTCAGCGATATATTCAACAGCTTGGCTGAAGAAGAATCCAATGTGGCGCAAAACTATCAACAGAACCAAGGATTCGATGCCCAGGGCAATCTCATACAGCCCATTGCACCATCCAAGCCGTCGCCCTTCGCCATGCAGCAGCCCGGTTCCCAGCAGCAACCAGGAACACAGCAACCAGCATCACATCAACGACCCAATCCCAACGAGCAGAAGGTGATCTCTGGTAGCCAGGAGAACTACAGCAACGAGTACGTGTCCTACCAGGTGCAGCAGCCAAACATGATGCAATACCGACCTGTGCCGGGCCAGATCAATAATGTGGTGATTTCGCCGGGACAGCAGTCAGCCTCTTTCGTTCTTGGCAGTCAGGTGCAACAGGTAAGCGTGGGCCACCCGAGCATTGAGAAGGAACCACTGTTCGCCAAGGACACGCCAGGTGTTCAATATGGTCAGGTGATCAACGAGGACATTGGCAACATTAAGCGACCTCTCAAGGAACCGCTGCCTCCGCCACCGAACTTCCAACAGATGCCGAGCATCCAGCAGAACTCAAACTTCCATCAGAACGGAAATGTGGCCACATCTGGAGCACCTGGAACCGTTTCCTACCAGGAGCCACCACCAGAGGCACCAACTCCCTATCAACAGCTTCCCCTAATCGGATCCAACAAGCGACCATCAAAGAAACCCGTGACCAAGCCTGAGCAACCTTCGCATCCCTACACACCACAGCAATCTTCGACCCCGCCACAGCCACAGCCCACTCCACCGGTTTTAATGCAGGGAGAGGACACCAAGGAACTTCTTGTCTCCACCAACATTCGATTCCCCGCTCAGGGAGAAGAGTCTCTGGAACTGCCCTCCGCTGTGATGCAAGGTCCTCCAGCAGGACCAAACATTAATGGTCATGCACAACCTTTAAGTCTGCAGCAAATTCAAAACTCCAATCCCGTTGTTTTTCCAAGGCCCAAGGATGAAGTAGCTCCTGGCAGCGCCAGTGTGCAGATCCAGCAGCATGAAGTGCTTAACCTGAGCCAGCAGAAACAACAATTGGTAATAATTTGTCCCTTATTTATGATATTTAAATAAATGTTATATAATATATTCCAATCTTCATTCCTAGAAATTCCCTGCTCAGCAGCCTGTACTTGGTGAGCAACCCTCGCTGGAAATGGAGCCACCTCCGCGATACCCCACCACTGTGCCAGTTGCTCATGCACCTCCGACTCCTGGCAAGCGTCCACTCGGTACATCACCACCTTCCAACTTCTATAACGAGTACAACCGGAAACCACAAAACGGACCCCGTCCTAGCAACCTGCCAAATATTCTGCCACAATTTCGACCGAATGCCAAGATTTCCAGCGGACATCCTCCTGCCTTAAAGCAGGAACCAGGAAACATACGTCTGCCTCAGCAAGGTGGTCCCGGTCCAAAACGCCCTTACAATCCTTCGATGCAACCTCAGTTTGCCCATCGCCGTCAGCCTTTATACCAGCAGCATCAGCAGATGATGCAGAAGCGCTATCCCATGAATCGCATCTCGGAGTATCCCATGGGGCCCGGTCCAGGAGGAGATGTTAATAGGAGAGTATACAGGCTTCCCCCGTATGGAGGACAGAATGTGCCCTATCTGCCCGATCACATGTATCCCCGCCGCCCCCAGGGCCCTGGACCATTGAGATCCGTTGATGGCTATCCCGCAGAGCGACATGCACCTTCATCCGAACCCTACAAAACGATCGATGCAGAGGCAGCTGCCGACTTCGAGGAAGAAGATCTGGTGATCAACGATCCGCCACAGCCCGTGACTCCTGGCAAGGATCGCAAGGGAGTGGAGGAGACGAAACTAGAGCCAGTGGTCACATTACAAATGCTGCAGTCTCAAAAGAAGGCTGTGAGCCTGCCCGGCGATGATACGGGTGCAGGAGAGATCCAGGTCACAGCCGACAATGATCCCCAGGAAGCTGAGGCCTCCAAGCTCAGCCAGCAAAAGTTGGATCCCAGCGGCATGTATGTTGTCTTTCCGATGAAGAGTGCAGAGAAAGGACAAAGCGAAGGCGATGCACCTTCAGCTCCAGCTGAGTACCAGAATACTCCGTTCTCCGTGATTCGCGACCAGCCACAGGAACCCATTCTCAAGAACAAGAAGCCGCAATCCCTGCAGCAGCAAAACAAGGCGCAGCAAGTTCCCAAAGAGAAGTTCCCCTATCCTATCGAGAAGCCAGACCCATCATTTTCAGACCTGCACCCCGAATCGCAGACTTCTGTTTCGGGAGTACTGGTGGCTCCAAGGATCATTACGGGAGCTATGGGCACCGGGACAGAGACACCCATTGCAATTGCCTACACGCCCACAGAGCCAAACTCATTCCGCCACGAACAGGGGCAGAAATTCTCAAATATCAATCTGGCCACGTCAGTAATCAACGAGATCCGACAGGACACCCAGACGGAGGAGGACCTGAGCAGTGATTTCGATCTGCGTGGCCAGAACTTCGAGAAGGACTTCATGGCACCATTTTACCCAAGTGTGAGCCTAGGAGGTGCCAGTGGAGCTGCAGCAGTAAATGCTGCCGCGCCCAGTAACTGGAACATTCTGCCGTCGACCACGGATCAGGCAATCTATGAGAAGAACAACATAAACCGGGCTGATGTGGACCCCACAGAGCAAAAGAAAACAGAAGAGGAGCAACCCACTGCTAGCCCGCTAACAGCGGAAAAGCCTTCTGAAATGGACAGCTTCCAGCCACAGCTTCAAGGGGGCTTCAAACCCATTTATCCACCGGGCTACAAACACGTTGAGCAAGTGGAACAGGACGAGATCGCAGGTGCCAAGAATGCTGGCAAGGACCAACCAATCGCATTGCCACTGATGGGCACCACAGCAAAACCTTCGACGTCAGCCTCACCCGTTAGCAGCAGCAGCAGTTCCACCTCAACATCCTCTACCACATCCACGACCTCAACGACCCATCAACCCGGGGTAACGAAGTCGGATGTCACACTGGCAACTACCAAGGCGCCGGCAATCAGCACAAAGCCCACGCAGCGCAAGAAGTCCACCTTTGAGACGAGCCTGGCGGCCTTGCTCTTCGGAGACGACGAGGAGGATGGAGCACGCAAGTCCGCTGAGCTACCGAAGGCCCAGGTTGGACCTAGAAATGTGCCCCGAATGGGACCCCGAAGTCTGACTTTGAGCTAAGCGGGTCCGAGGATGCCCAAAACTAGTTTAGTCCAATTTTAGTTTGTATTATTTATTCAAAGTTTATGAGACAGCCGGGAAACGCCCCGCTTAGAGGTAGACCATGTGGTAATCTAGTTCTGTTCTACAGCTTATAGTAAGTAAGCTCACCTTTCCAGATATATAGACCATCGCCACCAACGAACACTACACCCCACAATCCCAGCGACTTTTGCGAGTCTGATTTGAAATGCGAATCATTTGAACTTTCTCATTTGACTCCCGAATCGTCGGAAATGAGAAAAAGCTTTTTACTCAAATTAACAACATAAACTTAAATAGTACTCACAATTTACCCAATAACTGTACCATAGAAAACCATGAAAAATAAACAAATTTCCGATATAATATGTCTTTTTTAAAAGGAAACAGTTTTGGCGGTAAAACTAGAAAAATTAAAATAGAATAAACAAGATAGAATGCTATAGTCGAGTAACCCGACTATCAGATACCCGTTACTCAGCTAGTGGAAGTGCAAACGAGAAATTTCAACATTTTCTGGAATATCGGTAGAAATTGAGAAAAAGTAATAAAATTAAAATAAAACTAAAAAGTTTTTAAAAGCGTGAGAGTTTTGAGCGCTTTCTTCAGTCTGTTACATACTTTTCAACGAATCTAGTATACCCTTTTACTCTACGAGTAACGGGTATACAAAAAGACCCTACGGTTTTTTACACAAATTGTACAGTTCAAGTAATTTTCCATTTTTTAGTGTATACTTTTAGGATGAGCAATGGACTCTATACTTACGACCCTGGTTAATAGTGATACAAGATTGAATCTGTAGTTTTACTATATAAGTATCTTTATTATACGAGTACATTAATTCAGTTTACAGTTATACAAAATTATTTGTTTGACTGACATGCTTTCGTTCTTCGATTTTAAATTTACGTTGTTTTAACATCTGTTAAAAGCCGAAATTAATTTCGTTTGTGTCTGGGATGGACTGTGATTTCAATGTTGATAATAATATATATAATACTTATTCATCATCGACCCAAGTCGGTAAGTGCTTTAAAATGTTTGATTGGCAACCGGAAATGAATTTTAAATTCATGATTCTCTAATGTTTGGCTTTACTTAGAACCCATTAACAAGACGATGCAATGAGGTTGACGTGTTATGATCAAATGGACGACTTACATTTCTTAACAATCTTCTTAATATGTACACATATCATACTTTATCTACATCTGCCACGGAAGTCTCACTTATCTTAATAAATTTTCTGTTCAACAGTGTCTAAGTTGGTAAAGTAAGATGCTTCACTTGAAGCCATTATTTCCTAAAGAATTCTTGATAATATATTCAATTTACGGATATATTTTCCTATCATCAGTATTATGGAAACTACTAGCCAATTGAAAAAAGATGGCTCAGTCTTCGCCTTGCTCTTTTGCAATACATGTAATAATTGAAGTATAATTGCAGCCGAATTTCATTTACCGTATATGTATGTAAGTTCGATTGTAAAGGACACACAAAAAGAAATAAAACAATTGATCATGTCCCATAATACTCTTTATAAAATCGGAATTTATCAGCCAATATATAAAATTGATCTGCTGGGTGTAATGTATACTTATGTATTTATTTGTAATGCAGATACCCACAAACTTGTAACATAAGAATCTAAAACTATAGTCATAAGTCGTGTTTAAGCCGAACTGGATTGGCCAATGATAAGTGGTTTTGCTTCTCAACTTGATCCGGGATCATCTGTACAATTTTCGAGGGAAAAGGGGCTTCAAGTCTTAAAACCTCAAGTTGGTAAGCCTACGTAATTATTTAAATTAATCGTTACAGGTAAAATGTATATATTGCAATATGCCTTTTTATGTGTGTGTGTATATTTGTATTGTATTTTAAACATAATATTTTTATACAAAGTTTAGACAAAATCAAATAAATAGCGCGATAAATTTAAAATTATATGTAAATGTATTCATAAAGAAGAGCTACGCCGTTTCATAGGAGTTTACCAGCGACAGATATTATTAAGAATAAATACTTCCCATGATTGGTTTTAGAATACTCGCTAATTTAGCATAATATATGTAGCGAAGTAAATTTGAAGGACTAGGAACCAGTACGACGTATGATTATGTTTATGTATATGCTTATAAATGGTAATTAGATACAATTTTTCAACTAATACAAACGAAATTGGTTCGCTTATTTAAGGGTATGCTTATTTTGTAGTAGAACATTTTGGCTTACTTGCAATTGCGCTCTATACATTTGACAGTAAGGAAATCAACTATTTACTTACAACATAAACTTTTGGGCATTTAAAACTAGCCAACTTTTGTGGGCAAAATTATTTGCGAATATTTTTTGTATTTTATCAAGTGGTACTGCCAGGTATAAAGGAATCGTATATGGGATAAAAATCTCACAGAATCGAACTAAGTCTTAGGGAGACTGAACAAATAAGTTATTAAATATGTATCAGGTCGGGGTGTTAATAACAAGGTCCCCCAGCTAGCCGCCTTGCTGTTGCTTCTTTTTGTCGAATATGGGAAGCTTCGATTTGACTGCACCTTCGCACACCATCATTCTTTGCTGCGCAGGCTTCTTGTCCAGATCAAAGCACAGGGCATCCGCGTTCAGGTGCCGCTTGAAGTCTGAATATCGACGCGACTCGTAAGAAAGGTAGTTGGAGCCCAGGGCAGAGGCAGCCACAGCAGCTGCTACCGTCCCGTTCCCATTGCGATGGTGCACCGAAGGCGGCGAGGAGTCCTGTCGCTTCCGCTCAAAATACTCCACTATCTTGGCGATCTGTGCGGATCTCGTGCTGGGCAGTGCCGTGAAGGAGCGGTCGTCCCAGAGCAGGGAATCAGAGCCTGCCAAGCTACTTATATCATCGGAGCTGTCCGTGTAGATGGACGAGGTGCGGTTCTTACAGTACAATAGTTGATTCGTTGCAAAAGGACTGCGCTGAAGCAGAGTATGAATCTCCGAGTCTAGAGCCAGTCGATTGATCAGACCCGCCGTAGCCGCCATTTGCGATTCGCTGCCGTTCCCGCTGAGCAACGCATGGTGGCAAGTGTAACGTCGCTGGTGTGTGCGTCGCGATGCCACAATGTCGGCGTCCAGGTCATCCATCGAGTCCAGCGCTGTGGAAGATGAGGTGTTTCCCCCCACCACAGCGGGATCATTGTCAATCAGTAGCACCGACGAGGAGGTCGAGGACGTGTCGTTGAGCAAGTGGCTCGGCTGTTGTTGTTGGACCGCAGCAGCGGCTGCAGTTACGGCGGCGTTCGATGTCGAGGTGGCATAGTAGCAGCAGCGACACAAGCTCGCTAGTTTATCGCTAAAAGACAAAAATATAATCAGTAACTGGTTACCAAGAACGATAATACAGGCCCTACTTAATGTACCAAAAATATCAGACAAACATTTGTATAGCTTTTTAAATGCTTAATGGCTTTGTGATGAACATCGACTAATAAGATGGTATTACACAAAGAGCACGACAATCTTTTAACAATTGAAAAAAGTGACTTATGATTGTGATTTGTATGCTTTAGCTAAACAAGTCACTTACGTTGCTTGTGCGTTAGGAGCTCGATTTTTATACCGTGGCTGTGTTTAACCTGGGGTATGCCGAAATAATTATCATATATGCAATATTTTTAAAATAAAAGTTTGTTTACATACGTATTTACAGTTCATTTAGCTAACGTCAAATACATACAATTTAAAAACCTAGTTTGATTCCGATAAATATGTTTCTATGCCATTTACGATTACCAACTAGTACTTCAAATTCATTTAAATTGAAATCTATACATTTAATCTATATATTTAAGAAATTTGCTCAAAATCTTTTTGCAATACGGTACATTATTACAAAGTAAGTTCAACAATTTTTAATATACTTACTTGATTTCACTGTCTGCGCTGACGCATGCGTCGAGCATAAGCTGCGTCTTCAACTTCTCATAGCAGCAGTTGCTACTGTTGCCCCCGCCGCCGCAACCAAACCCCAACGACCCAATCCCGTTCAGCTGCCGTCCAAAACTGCTGTTGGTTATCGCCGCATCGGACTCTTCGTTAAAGCACGAGAAGAAGCCACTTTCTATAGAGTCCCGCCTTGTTAGATTCGTCTTCATGGGGAGCTGCTCACACGAGTTCTTTAATTCGTTCAGATCGCAGGTGTTTTTCAGTTCGTCCAGCTCAAGATCAGTGCAGGATGAAACGGACACCGGAGTTTCCACCAACCTGGTTGAGCAGCCAGACATGGGAGTGGGTAAAGCCTGCACAGCGGCTGTTGCACCGCTACCCGCTTGGTCTTTCGATTTCTTGGCGCTTTCAGTCAGATCCTCACACGAATTGGACGCACCCACTGACGCAGTCAACGTGATTGTAGATGCGCTGGCTTTCAGTAGAGTTGGACTCTCGAACTCACTAGTACTGGTACTTTTCATGCAGGTGCCATTGGGGCCGCGAAAAAGCGGGTGCGTATACAAGGAATTCGCGCGGTATTTTCGAGCGGTTGGCACAGTGGCCGGACGCACGGCGCTGTCATCGCTGCTGGATTCCGCATCGGCACAGTTGCCCCCGCCATCAGGATCCTCACCTTCCGAATTGCAATCATCGCAGTCGTCCTCATCGGCTGGCAATGTAATTGGTGGTGGAGCACTGGTAACTGCTGGAGGAGCAGCATTGCTGATTCGCTGAGGAAGTCGAAGCTCGATGGCGCTGTATTTGCGCGTCATGTGCGGCGACACAGGCAGGCTCTTTGGTTCATTGGGCGTTGCTGCCGATGCCTTTTCATTAAGTTTTCCTGTTGCGCTTTCATCCGTACTCGTTCCGCCACCCTGAGCCACCGCTTTGCTCTGCATTGCGGCCAGCTCTTTAAAGAACGGCGCTAGCATCTCGAAGCATGAGCTGAAGAGATCTCCCACCCCTGCTGCATAGGTCTTTGGATTGGCGTCCAGGATTTTCTTAACACCACGCAACTGCGCCAGCGCTTCAAACGGATTCGGTTTAGAGCCGTTGTGATCCTTTTCAGATGTCGGCTTGTACTGTGGATCCTTTAGACACATAGTCTCGCCCACTTTGCGCAGCGTGAGTACCGCTGGCACGGGTTTGGGAAGTGGTGGGGGATCTGGAATAGACGTGGCGGGCAACTGAACAGAGGAGAGCTGCCTTGGAGGCGTTGGTGAGTGAGTGGAGGAGCGCTGGCGTTGCATTTGATGACAGCGCGCCTTGTCACTTGGCGACGTGTGCATGGGGAAGTGGATGATGTTCTCGCTTAGCGACCGCCGGTGCAGCAGGATCTCGGCCTCCAATTTCTGAGTAGCCCGTCGCACTCTAGACTTCAGTA